AAATATAACTTTTGGAGAAGGTTAAGGAAACATTGGACTTGACTGCGCTTCTCATTATGCATCGAAATTCTGCTGCTGCTCAATTACTTTTGGAAAATGTTGCTGCTGGAGAGAACAGCTTTTAGCTGTTATGGTATTTCTATATCGTTTTCCACAATTCCTCCCATAATCCACGGAATGCCTACAGAACACATCTCTTACCAGCGTCAGTTGATACTACGGTTCCTCCGAATTCGAGCCCCTCTTACTGTGAGCCAAAGAGACCCCCACCAAGGATGCTTGACCCTCAGAGGTATCGTGGCTGATTGATTGCTAACAAGGTCTTCCAAAGTCAGTAAAATGGTGAAGTTCAAATTCATCTAATAACAACGCCAGTGTCGCGGTAGCGACGCCTTCGGGCTCCTCCCCCCGGCTCCGGCGCGAGGCAGTCGATCAGATCGCATTGTTGGTAGACGGTTGAAACCGTCATTCGGAGATAAAGATTGCTGTTTGCGAGACAGCACATTTTGGTGCATCGGCCGCACGGATTAAACGTGCTGCCCGCTTTCTTCTTGCATTACGCCGAAACAGAAACCCAGGCGTGTAGCCAGGCATAGCCCGCTACGTTCGGTCCTCAGAGGAAAAAATCTGAGAGCACCAGAAAACTAAAAGTACGTTATCATGTCCTTATTTTTCCGCACGTCGAGTCTTCGACGAGGAACGGTGAAATTGAAATCACAGCTTGACACATTCCGTGGCTTTACAAATGAGCCCATTTATCCTCAAAGCGATAGCGAAAGAATTGCTTACTGCGCGAAAACAGTGGTTGCGCTTGAGAACGCGATTTCTCTAATCCAAGAAGCGAAAAATGAACTCGTCGATATTCTTGTCAGTGTTGAACAGGATTATGCTGAGCTTAAAAAGCCAGAAAAAAGCGGTTTTCTTGAGGAATTTCAGCAGGCTGCCAAGGAGATAATGTATGAGAATGCCCTAACAGAATGTGATGCTATGCTATGCGCGCTGAGGACTCGTCTAGCGGAAATCAAATATGAACATGACCTCGCGGGAAAAACTATGTATGAGGACATAGGGAAAAAGACGAGTGAGATCGATCAGAGCCACCTAATCGATCAAGAATTCCAAGAGCTGACGCATAAACATCAAGTTGATGAAAGTGGAAACCCCGCATACTTCGCAGAAACATTACAGCACGCAGATGACAACACAGATAGGCTGATTACGGTAGATACAGTAGGCCCAACATCCGGCGCTACTGGTCCGTTTCGTGACACGCTGCAAAACAGCCGTAGCTCGATCAAGCCTCCTCAGGTTTCCATTCCGCGATTTGCTGGAAATGCTGAAGATTTCCAAGAATACTGGGCTATCTTCCAAACCTTAGTTCACGAAAACCCGTCTCTCAGCGATATGGAAAAAATAATACTTTTGAAAGAAAGCCTAGTCGGAAAAGCGGCGACCACGATAAAAGGCATCAAACTAGTTCCACAAAATTATAGTTGGATGATCGACACATTAAGAAAAAAATATGAGAATGTCACCACCGCGCGGGCTAACATAATCCATCGTCTATCGAGTTTGCGGCCTGCGATAGACAACACGGGTGAAGCGGTTTTCGATGAGCTGCGTTCTCTGGTCAATGAAATGGTCTCGTCAGGTTACAACGTCATAGATACCGATGACCCCATGTGGATTGAGGCCATTCTGCAGAAGCTCCCCACGAGCATCGTAGAAGAATTTCTAAGAGAAAACAGGGATAAGGATTCGTTCACAGTGGGTGAGACCCTAGATCATCTCGAGACATTAATCATTAGATATAAGTATATAAATCGACGATTACAAGCGCGGAAAGACGATTCAGCTGCCTCACACGCGCCGCAGAAGGGTAACGTAATTACTGGGAGAAATATGATGTGTTACTTTTGTGGTCGAAACAATCACAGAACGTTTCAGTGTCGCACTGTTCACGACCCCAGTGAACGGCGTAGAATAGTTATGGAACAAAATCTATGTTGGAAGTGTTTCTCCAAGGATCACTGGAGTAGCGAATGTTCAAGACCAAATTGCTCGCTATGTGGTAAATTACACGATTATTCACTCTGCTTCGAAAAGAATGCAGAGGTAATGAATCAGAAGCATACCAACGAAAGACAACAGACTCCAAAGATTCCGGCTAAGGCACAGGCCAATACAGGCAGCAGAAATGGTCCCCAGTACAATACCGCACGCGCTCCAAAAGCAATCAATGCCTTTTCACCCATGAGTAATAGTTTCTCTTAGTAGCAACACTAACGTCGCTGATCCCGACCAAATTGTACTGATGACAGCAGAGGGATCTGTATGGAATCACAACACCACTTCTTACGAGAAAGCTCTGTTTTTCTTCGACACGGGCGCACAACTAAGCTTGATAGAAGAAAAGCTGCGGAGCACCTTGCGTTGCCCGTTGTGGCCTCAGACAAATGTACGTTATCTGGTATAAGTGGGATCTCGGAAACATTTGTCTCCCACCACGTACAAGTGAAAGTCCTCACGGCTCACGGTAGAGAACTACAGATGACAATGCAAACAAAACCAACGCTCACGAAAGGGTTTCCGGCAGTGCGCCTAATGGAAACAGATATAGAGTTCATGGAAGAAAATTCCATCCAACTAGCGAACACCCGGCTCAAAGGCGAACACCAGGTTCCTCAAATTCTCGTAGGGATCGACCTTTACAATGTATTCATTCCAGAGAGTACTCCTCCCGTTCAACTACCAACTGGACTTCGGGTTACAAAAACAGTATTCGGGTTCGCGGCATATGGTCGAGGGAACATGGGTGCTCCTTTAAATGACGGCGAGAACGACCATAAAGAATGCAACACAGTCATAACCGGAAACATGACAGATGCCGATCTGATTAAAGCAATGTTTGAACTTGAGGGCCTAGGCATCTCCACGAAAGAAGGGCTTGACGAGGAAGCAACATATGCGTATCTTTCAAAGTACGCAAGATCGATAAGATATGAGAATAATCACGTCATAGCTCCCTTTCCGCTGAAAGAAAACATTGCAGAACTGACGGACAACCGAAATATGGCCATGAAAAGGTTGATAGCCCAAGTAAAGCACTTGGACACACATGAAGAACAAAAAAGATGGTACAAAAAAATCATCGAACAATATCTTCAGGATGATGTCATTGAAGAAGTGACAAAGCCTGTCTCTGACTCTGTGGGAACATACTACATGCTCCACTCAGGAGTGTGGAAAGGAAACAAAACTACTCCACTAAGAACTGTATTTGACGCATCCTCGAAACAAAGAGGCAGACTGTCTTTAAATGACGTCTTATACAGGGTGCCACATTCATAAATAAGATACATGATATCCTTGTTGCGAGTCGAGAAATGCCAATAATACTAATAGCAGACATACAAGCTGCATTTACACAAATTCGAATACAAGAAGATCACCGCGATCTCTGCCGATTTCTGTGGCTGCGCGACCCAGACAAACCACCATTTCATAATAACATTGTGGAGTACCGATGGAAACGCGTTCCGTTTGGCACTACTGCCTCCCAAGCATGCTTAACATGGTCATATCAGCATACTTAAACCGTGATGGTACGGAACTGGCGAGGGAAATACAGCGATATCTATATGTAGACAATGTGCTTCTCACAGCCCTCACCCCCGAAAGCGCAATCCAAAAGTACAAACAGTCCAAAGAACTTTTCACGAAGATTGGGAATGAACCTCAGAGCGTTTGTTTGCAATTCCATTAAGGTATACTCTGAAATCGCCGAAATTGATAGAGCACCATATGGTCCCATGAAACTCCTTGGTTTAGAGTACAATCCAGCTTCAGACCAATTTACGTTTCGAATAGAACTCGAATCATGTCCAGCTACAAAAAGAGATGTTTTGAGACAACATCACGCGATATACGACCCGATAGGTTTCGGGGCGCCCCTGCTAATTAAGCAGAAACACCTCATGCGTCTAGTACTTGAGAATAGCCCAGAATGGAATTCAAAAGTGGATCCTGACTTGCTGAGACAATGGCAAGCAGTCAGCAAAGGGATTGACAACGTCAACATTCAAATTCCTCGTCACATTATGGTAAACACAGACATTCTGAGAAATACGCTCTGGATATTTGCTGACGCAAGTGTCCAAGCTATGGCAGTATGTGCATACATGGTCGACCGCAACTTCACAGAAGTCTCAGGCCTCATAAGTGGAAAAACCAAACTTGCCCTAAAGAAAAGGGAGCTATCTACACCAAAACTGGAGTTACTAGCACTCTTGCTAGCTCTACGCTTAGCCGAATCCATATCATTAGCGTTGAAAAATGGGATTGCACAGATCTGCATTGTAAGCGACAGCCTCATTGCATTGAGCTGGATACATACTTCACGCAAGCTCCCCCTTTTCGTTACGAATCAACGTGACCGAATAAAAACAATCATGAACCGCCTTTCTGCCTTAGGGCATGAAATCCAGCTACTTCACGTTCC